GTGGCAATAGTTTTAAAGTCTCTTTTATGGAACAAAAGTCTGGTTATGCGCTCGAATTACTTTTCAGAGCGAGAACTTTGTACATATTTTATTTGAGTAATGTATGTACAAGATCTATGAAGTAGCGTACAAAAGGCACTTGCATTCGCGTCGGATTCATGTTTCCGTTGAAGATTAGACGTCACCGTGCACATACGATATGTGACGCAGTCGCATGCGTCTTGCGATTTCAACGAAGAACGAAAGAATATATTAAACAGCGTGAACCGAATGCGACAATACTGAGGCGGATGGCGTTTCGTTCGTTTTTGTGCTATAAACGAATGATTTGTCAAATGCACGACCCACAGTTCGAAATTAAAGACGTCAATGCGAATCAACGACCTCAAGAATTGTGGACGTCAGAAATAATCAACGAACGAAAATACCGATTGCGCCTGTTTAATTCCGTTATATTAATAGAAGAAGGAGCAGAGAATATAGCTTTATATACATATAAACCCTCTTATTATTCACATAAAAAACAGAATTCTCTTTTTATGAATTAACTATTTGACATAAAGAGGATTAATAATTATCTTGCAGTATTATCGCGTTATGCGATATCTCCTTTAAAATCGTCGAAAGAGAAATTGTAGTATGAAATAAAACTTTTACGTTTTATTTGCCAAGAATTTAAAATATATTATATAATTAAAAATTTTAATTATCGAGAGATGACGATATCGCGAGGTTATGAATATTCATTTTACGCATTGCATTTCGTTATCAATATTGATATCTCCATCGATATTAGCACAAAGCCATGTAACGTTATGTAACGTTTATAATCGATAAGTGACGAGGAACCATAGACACGATACCGTGCGGGTCGCGACGTGCCTCGTATGTTACGTGACAAATTGGCCACGTGCGATTTTGTAGCACGTGCCCGCGATGTCTCTGCCTTCCTTTATATAATTGGATCGCTTGTCGCGATACTAAATCGAGAGAATTTCTACGACAGAAATGCATCACGCGGCGGAGCGGGCTGTGCAGACAATAACATAAAGTGAGCGGAGAGAGATTTCGTGTCGCAACATTATATTGTGTGCTTTCGTTGTATTCCACGGAGATGAGCCGGCTCGAACGTCACTCCTCCCGACGTTTTTTTCTTTTGGCTCTGTTGCTTTGTGCAAGCTTGTGAATAAAAATTGTAATAACGGAAAGATTTCAATAACACATGCAATATAATGAAAAGGAGATATCCGAACAACACGGCGGAGCCAAAGGTTCCGTGATCGATATATACCGGATTCAGACTCGCGGCGACTGTGACATTTTTCCTACCACCGAATCGAGAATTTCTGGTGGAATTTACACGGTTTTTCAACCACCGTTGCTTTACAAATTCCGTACGATGTATGCTCAAGCTGACGTTTTACTTTTCAGAACGACGAACCAGGGTTGAATGCTCACAATGATTTTAAAAGCATCGCGCACAAGCGATGCTTTTAAAATATTGCAATTCTAACAAATAAAAGCTCTAAATATACTCATGATATTTATACTATTATAATTCCGTTAAATATTACAATTCACGATTGAAAATCAAATTTGGTGAGCAGTTTGTATGATTGGATATACACTGAATTATTTAAGCATAAAAAGTCTAGTTCTGGACTGTTTAGAGCCTCTATTTGTTGTCTTACACACATTACGGTGTCTTAAAAGATACTGCATATTTAATATTGTCATTCCATTCATATAAGTGGTAAAGGAGATGGCTCACTTCTGTCTCTTTTTTCATGTATAGGCAACACGCGACTCTTTGCACGGACCGCTAATCTGCAATTGTAGAATCGGCGCGATGCGCCGGAAGTGAATCGCGAACTCGTGACACGAATTACCGTCGTCTCATGTCATTTAAACAATTGTCCCACGCAGTGGTGAATGCAACAACGTCATCTTGCACACTAATGAGTGGGTCGTTGTGCTCCCGATCGACAGCAATTGCAGCGAATTTATACAATTGCATGTCATGCAGACACGTGAAAAAGTATCGCAAATCAAACAAACGTGATTTTAACATTTGCAAGTATCTAATGATAGCTCGACAACAGATTTACGTTTCAATTAACGTAGAGGGTTTTCGCGTATCACATTTATAAATTCCACGTAATCGATTTGTGAACCGATAGTTTTGTGAAAAGAGAATTGCATGCACAAGCCGCTCGCGTATCGTTCACACTTGTTCATCATTGTTAACATCCTTGATAGTCGCGCGTGTAAGATAACGTTATCCATCGTTTTCATTACGAGAAACTCGTATACGAGCGCGAGGCTTCTCGTAATTACGCGTAAAACTTGCGATTTGGACGTGTGGGCGCTGAGAGAAGATTGTGGGAGAGCTACACGGGAATAATAGCCGCACCTGTGCATCAAGTTATTATTACGAGTACACGAAATTGAACTATTCTCGGAGTTAAGTAATAGGCGCAGTCGTTTCGTTATCGTTTACGTCACGCATGAATATGCATGGTGTATGCATATGCATGGCAGTCTCCGGAGCACTGATGCATAAAAAGAGCGTGAAGCCGTTTACAAAAGATGACCTTGGAATCGGAAGATACGACCAAAAAAAAAGTTGCATATTATTCACGTCGTGCGCCCTTTGTAACGGCAAACGCCCGCAGAGCAGCGGACCATTTACTTTTTTAGCACATCACACGTATAAATGTCACATTCTCGCCGCGGTAAACAACGAAATTTATTTAATCACTTATATGCATAAAGTTTTAATAAACGCAGGCTGGACTAAATAGACGGATCTTTATTCATGAAAAACAGCTCATTTGTCGTACTCAAGTGAATTTGATTTAGCCATTTAATTCAGCTCTTCAATAACACGCACAACTATGTGTCCGATTTATAGACTCAGCTCGTCGGGTGAAGAAAATAAATTATTATCTAATCCATATAAATGCAGGAAATGAGGAGATTCCCCTTGCCGTATAGCGAAAAATTCATTTTCTCTCTCTGTATTTTAGAGAACGTTTTTATCAGTACACGGGATGGAGAGGATCGTGTACTTTTCTAATGATTTATTAACTCCTCTTTCACCTTGCTCGCGTTCCCTTTTCTCTCAGTTGTATTTTTTTTTTTTTTGCCCAATCGGATTGGGTTTCAAGGAGTTAAAACAAAGTAACACGTATCCTCACGATCCGGGCTCGCAATTGGGAGCAGCTGCGTGCTTCCGCAAGAATATTGCGTAATTCCGGCGCGATCGGCACCGGTTCGCTAGTGTCACTTTTGGCCGCAATATTTTAGCAATGGGGATGCGGTGCCCCAGATTCGGCCGAGTCTGCTTCAACAGTCGTTCAACCCTCGGCCTAGATTCGCGGCACCCCGCGCTGACGTCATTCACTATTCCACACGCAGGTGCTCGTGTCTCCTATGTGTTAGTCGCCGATATTACGTTTACACGTGAACGCGTATTCACACGGACACACGTATACATGCACAAGGTACCGCGTCATCTCTCGTTGCAGTCTCAGAACTCGTCGAAGTAATGCGCGAACCAGAGAGCGCATTGTCCTCGTCAGGCTGCGTATTATGCAACTTCTCTCCCTTGATTCACCATTCCTTTTTCACCCTCCCTCTTTCTCGCGTATCTTTGCCAAGTCGGCTTTTTTCTTGCCACGGCCAGATTTACTAGTATCGCTTTATACATGCACCTCATTATAAGTATGATTGCGTCATTTCTAAAGACCGTTCTCGCCGAAAACTACTCTTCTAGGAAACTACCTCGAAGTTAGTACTAAGCTACTGAAAGAACAAATTTATTGCTTTCCCCAGACCAAGTTGAAAATAAAATCGCAATCTTTGTTAATTAAAATAGTGACATCGGTTTCAATAAACTTTCAACTATTTAGACTAAAATTGTATCTTTTTTTAAATATACTATTATAATAAAAGTTAAGTACAAGATTCTCAATTTCAAAAAGATAATTATGTAATTAGAATTTTTTATTTGAATATTTATGAAAAAGTGTTTCTATTATATTTAAAACAAAATTTAATAGGTAAAAGCAAAAAAATGAGTCTATTAGGTAATTTTTTCATTGATTTTTCTTGAATTATAAATCATTCGAACTACAGTAGACAATTTATGTGTTAATTTTAAGATTGTTATAAAGAAATTTATATGACATTTTTCTGTTTGATTAATAATATCGGTATGAATTTCGCAAAATAATGCAGGTATTAAGTATGAGAAATCTTATCATGTCTAATGTATAAATTGATATAATCGACGTTCATTTGTCGAGTTTATATGTCAAACGATAATAATAATACACGATTACGTCTGACATAAATCGGAAAATTATGATCGATGTACAAATAACAGGTTCCCTTTGATTGTATTTTCCATAATGAAACGCGAAACGCTATCATGATTTATGACAAGTGCTATACATTATACTCTCTTATTACAATTTCTTTCTCTTCTTCTCTTTTTCGTAGAATATGATTATCACGGATTTTTTTGCCAATTATGAAATGATGTCTTCATGATAATAAATACAAAATAATTCCGACTTAGTCATAAAATTAATGATAGATTATTTTTATTCAGCAGCTTAATTATATATAATAAGCGGAACCGTTAACGGACCGATTATCATATGTAATTAATTTTGTTACCGTTTAGCTTAATATATCGACGTTTTAATAACTATATATGTATATATACCATGGTATATATATATATATATATATATGTGTATATTCTGATACATGGAAATCGAGTTATTTCTACGTATTACGATTTTACGTTACGCTCATTCAGTACTTTGCATAATCAAATTATTTTCAATGATAACGAGCTCGAAATAGCTGGTAATACTTTTAATCCAGTTACGCTCGTTAGTTATCATTATTGGATTATAACGCTTTCAGGAAAAATTATTCAATTTTCTTCTTCCGTGAATTTTGAATTTGGTTTATTTTTTTTTTAGCTCACGGGTTTTCTTCAGCAACCTATTCCGTATATTAGCATGTCGGAGATCCGGAAATACGTTGTCACCAGGTGGGACCCTGCATATAAAAACTGCCTCAAAATCGTCGTGCCGCACGGTTCGCTTTTTCTGCAAGCTAACAACGCTTACACGAGGGACCAGTGGTATCATTCGATATTATGGAAGGTACACATATTGAGAATTATTATTTATTATTTAAGAAAAATCATTATTTATTTAACACGTATGAATGAAGAGAACCATATTCAATGAAGAGTTTTAGTCAATGTCTATAATAATATTTTTGTGTAAACTTTTACAATCAAGCTGCGCATCGATTTACCATCATTATTTATTATCTGTTACCATAATAACTAATTTACGTATATAACAGCTAATTATTATAATTATTAATTTTAATTAATTATTTCATTAACGCAATTATTTTAAGCAATAGATTTTGAAGAATAAAATTTACGTTTATCATAATGCAACTTATCGAGCTTTGTTGAATTTAATATATTCATGTTTTATTTAACCTTATGAGATTTGCCATTGTTTGTTTATCGTGTAAATAACGATAAAAATTGATGGATTTTTTTATTCAAAATTAACTTACAACTCTTTAACTAACAACAACATCGATGTTTATCCATTTTTCGATCGGTGGGATTTTCCGAACAAAGAATTACTGTTGTGAATGCGAATGTTGATATGAAATACATATTTTTTTTTAATATTAGCGTTTCGATGCCTCACGCAGATCGACAAAGAATGGTAAACATAGAGCGTTATTAACGCTCGACAATGTGAGGTTGAAGCAGGAGGAAGATAACGACGCGAGAGGCGAACGTTCTTGATCGTCTTCGACCGGATCAAATCTCCCGGATACGTCAGTGTTTTATGGAGGTTGTCGCGAACGGTTTAATATCCGGTCGGGAAATTAATCAGCGGCCTCTCGTCGTGGCCGCGCGACGAGTAAATCGTAGCGATCGGACCGACCACAACGATTGATTGAATTTTATTGTTTACGGCGTTATATTTCTGATGAAAATATCGTCCGTACGTTGACGACCTGGATGTCGATGACTTCTGTCGAAATTGATTCTGTTCGTCGAGAATCAGATTTGTTTCAGTTCAATTTCTAACTTTATACGGGCGATATGTCAAAAGGACGTTTTGACATAATTTTTAGCAAATTATGTTTTTAAATTAGCAGCGAAATTTTTATCTCTTTTGTTGATATTAAATGTATTGTAACGAGGACATTAGGCTCGGAAAAATTCAGATTTTAAAGTCTTCTTTATTTTGCCACTATATATTTCGGAATTGCTACCTTTCAATTAGTTTTTCAATAAAGATTGACGATTTTTTGGAGAACCACTACCGGAATCATTATTTTCTTCAGTTTTCAGTGATTTAAAAAAAAAAATTCAACAGATCTGAATTGTTAGATTTTCATCAGAAATTTCTTTCTATCAGCTGGACAGCCGGAAGATTTCGGTTTAAAAACGGAGAACGGAGTGGCAATCATATGTTAAACACATTGCACTCTCGTATACTATTTTTTGATAGTTACTACCACCTGCTTAGGACCTCTTTATTACCGAATTCTTAACGATAGAATTCGCCGATTAAACAGCTCGAATTCGAATTTGCGAATGATTTGGAACTGATCTATCTTTCCGCAGAAAAGTATCTGCAAGTATCAACTTCTCGTCTCGATAAGCTCTCGCGAAGAGGTGATATTGCGCGAATTGCGCATTATGGTGGATTTCGCTCTGTGGACACCGCTCCAGGACGAGAGAGTGGCAGGCGCCCCGCTGGAGGCGGTCGCTAAATTGTTGGACGAACCCAGCGTGGAGCCTGACTTGGACGAGAGAACAGAAGAGATTGTTCGTGATCGCAGAAGCTTGGCGGAGGCCGTTCTCGCCGTGGTGACTCCGCTTTTGGAAAAAGCAGCACCGCCAGTGACGCTTGCGAGGGTACTCACTAACCTGGCGCAACAACATCCGCGATCGCAATTGGTCCCGCTGCTTATCCCAGCGATCACGAGATGCCTGAAGCACACCGTTGACTTTGGCAAGTCGCCGGACATGAGACAACTGATACAGGTAAGGTGTCTGACAAGACCTACGTTACTTTGTTTGATTATAACATAACGTGTGGCGAGATCAAGACTATTCCTTTTGTTGTATTACTATAAGAATTCTACCTCTAAAACTTTTAGAGTGAATGTCTCTTTTTCATTTTTTTCACTTTTTGACTCAATTTTCACTTTTTAGAGTGAGACTCCACTTCAAAGAATTTGAGAGCACTTAAAAATAAAACTTTGCTACCCTGTCGATTCTAATTAGCTAAGTGACTCGTAACTTAGGATAAGTGATAAGGTTACATAAACGTGTACTCTTAAAATTTGTCGAATAGAATCTCACTCTAAAGAGTGAAAACTTGAGCCAGTCTCGAAATAGAGTGACATTTCACTCTTCAGAGTGAGATGTACTCTACAAGTTTTAGAGAGTATAATTACGATGTTGCATTACGTAGGTATTCATCGCCGCTTTGTACGAGAACAATGACGGTGAGCAGGCGATCAGGGATTACGTTTCGTCGATTCATGGACCGGGTAGCGATTGTCCACACCCGAGAGTGCTTCCCAATCTCATATCCATCTGTGTCGCGGCCATATTCCACAGGCAAGTTTCGCCCGAGTTGTAATGGAATTGGATATTCGTATCGCAAGTCTGATGAGATTCTCAACGATGTTGATTCCGATTTCTCAGGTTCGAAGTGTTGAGTCGTGCGTCATCGAACGAGGACAAATCACCGTCATTGCCGCCGTTGCAGTGTTATTTGCTCGTCTTGGATATCGCGTAAGTTCACTGATAAACAAAACCTGACATGCTTCTCGCATCCCTTCTGCTCTGCGCTTGAAACTTTCGAGTCTGAACGCGTCTCACGTATCGAGGAAATGATGTTATAGGTCGGAATACGCTGACTGGCGTTCAGGTCTTGGGGCACTGTTGCAACCCGTCCCATTCCCTGAAAAGGCTTTGACCGTGAGAGAAGTTCAGGAATCCGTACTAATGTGCGTGGTGCAACGACTGGCGAAAGATCCGAGATGTGCGGTGCATCGCGTCTTGCTGCCCGTCAGAGAATCGCGTCCAGGCTGGATCCATATCGCCGCACCATCCAGCCCAGCTTGTCCAGATCGTGGAGAACTATTCGGCGAAATGGTAAAATTTTATCAAATTCCATTTTTTTTTCTTTGCAAAGGTTATGGTCAATATTTATGGTCTGATACTTTGAGATCGTTTTAAATGCTGATACAACTCTGTGATTATGTGGCTTAGCTTAAGATTATATTTAAGATTTTAAATACCAATCTACGTCTTTCGCATAATTACGTTTCGTTGATAATTTTAATATAGAGTTTGCTTGCTGAATTTTTCCTGACATTTTAAAACATACGCAGTGTCCTTTGCTTCCAAAAATTTTATTAATCAAATATCAAATACCTGACACTGAAAAAATGATGTATCGATAGCATTATTTCAATCAAAAATAATCTTGTTTATTTAGTAAAAAATTTAACAAAAATATTTAATAAAAATTAAACGAATAAATTTTATTAAAACGAAGTCATGAATATTTATTTTATTGATAGTGATATTGAATTAACAAAATGATTTTCAATTAAAATAATGCTTTGATATAACGTCATGTTCTTCCAAAATAAAACCGACACAAACGTTATCAAACGAAGAGTAATCGTTACCTGACTCATTCATAATAACAACTAAAAAAAATCACATTTTTTTAATTTACGTCACTTTAAGGTGAGGAAACGATATGAAGATGTTTGATGGATTTATGTATGAAGAGTGCATTTCACACGTGCAGAAAGTTTCCTTGATGTTAAATTTTTAATTATACCCTCGCGAAGACTAAAATATTCGAGGCAAACAGTGCTTATATATCTTTCTTTAATCTTGTCTAAATTGTTTCTACCGTCTAGTATCCAGGTCGCACGTGGCGAGAGATATAAATATCTAATGGCGAAATAGAGAGAATACGTGCGGATGGATACGCAATTAACGTGCTTATCGGGGCAACGGTATCGAATTTATTCGCACGTGAAATGATTGTGGTGTATTCAGTAGTGTAATCTCGCTAACCAAGCGTTGCGAATTACGTCTCTCTGGTCTCGTTCGATAATACACGCCGTAGTAAGATCTGTTTAGTTCAGAAACGATTCATTCCCTGAGAGATCGAGGTGGCAGTGACGATTACTCGACGCGCGATTCGATTGGAAGTCCACCTAAATATTCATGAATCGCTCTTTTGAGATATATGGGCGTCAAGAATGGACTCGTACAGACTATAGCCAGCATCAATTCTAATTTTCTCGGAAATAACCACGGAATCGAACCGCCACAATCGCGCGGAATTAATGAAGTTTGGTTGATCGTGGAATGGCAAGCGGAACAGGAGGGTGTCCGATGATTCTTGCATTCTAAATTTCATTCTCGATTACAGTAGAGATTATATTCATCGTTGATTCCGAATTATCGAGGAATACTAACGAATGAATATTGAGAATCCGCAATACGTTGTCTATTTTAATTTAAATTAAATTAAGCAAATGTGGGAACTTTTTTTTCATTATTTAGAATGCACACGTTACGCAAAATATTCACGCGACAGGTATTATATGTATAATAATAGCGTGTTCTCAACAGCTCACGACTCTTTTGGCGTGCTGCTGTCGGCGGAAGAGATTTATTGCAACCCTGCTGAAGCAAGCGGGTGATGATTGCATCTTGCTGGCGGTACGAGGCTGCGACGCTGCGCAGGAAGCGCTTTGCTTGATGCTCGAGTGGCGCTTTCTGCCAAACGAGGAGGCGAGACTCCAGATAGTTAACGCGCTTGAATCCACGGAATCCGGAAAGGAGCGCTATGCCGCTCTCTGTCAGAGGCAGAAGAATCTGCAGGAGTTGGTAAGCAAATTCGCAAATCCTTTCGACGCAAATAATGCGCTGCTCTTTACGTTTTTATTCTTTCGTTTTTTTTTTATATTGACGTCAATAAATCGATGATAAATTCCGTTTGATCCTAAAGTGATTCCATTACGCACGACATATGCATATGTATAGTATATGTATGTATTTCAATCTTGAAAATAATAAATAAATAAGGTATATGAGAGTACAATATACAGTTAACGAAACGCAAATATAGTAATCAAATTATTTTTCTTTTTTATTGGATCATATACGCGATGACATTAATGGTTGAACGTTTCGATTCTCTTTGGAGTCTTCCTCACCAATTGAATACAAAACATTAAAATTTATCCTTAATCCATTAGAGTTGAGTCATAAAACAAATCCGTTATGGCGTTAAAACTAAATTAAAAACATGTATAAAGAAAAGCTTTAGATAAAATTTCTTAAATTGAAGTAATTCTTGAATTTTTCAAAACAATTTAACGTATCAGAACATATTCACAAATGACATGTTTGTAATTAAATGGCTGCACTGTTATATATAATATATAAAGAAGCAATGATAACCCAAAATTCACTTCTGTGATTAGTTTCAAAGTTAACATCATCCATATTAACATTATGCATTTAGTAAACTAAATTTGAGCCAAATTTGATACATTTTCTTAAACTAAATTGTTTAAACTCCATTGTTTTATTCAAATTAGTGACATACTGTGTAGGAGCAGTGGCGATCTAGAAATGATTAAAAACTCCCAATTGGATATAATTTGACATTATAAATTTAACAATACTGAATAACATTTTCAATCTCGATTCTGTTAGCAACAAAAGGGCGGACCGCGGAAATTAACGCTTCCAGTACGAGCGACCGACGCCGACGTTGCCCTTCTATTAGGCGGTCGTGCTCTCGGTAATCTCGAATGCCTCAGCCTGGCTTTCACCTCTGTGACGTCCGCGTGCGCGGAACAATTGATAAAGTTGCCAGCGCTGAGATATCTGAACTTGTGGGCTACGCAGTTCGGCGACGCCGGCCTACAGTTGATTAGCGAGCATTTGCAGAAGCTGCAGGTGCTGAACCTCTGCGAGACGCCAGTATCCGACAAAGGCATCTCTACATTGGCCTGTGAGTAACCTCAAAGCTTAAAGTTCAGATATAACGATTTGACTTTTTTTATAAAAATTTGATAACATTAATCTTGGAATATGGAGAGAGAAGACGAAATTGTAATTGTTTAATATATCAACATATCTTAAAAAACTTGTAAAAATTTATAGAAAGTTATCAAGACAGCTGTCTTGTCGTGTCAGTTAAAAATTAGAAATAAACTTAACCCTTCGCCAACAATATGAATTTTAACTTTTCTCTGTTAGCAATAGGTCTTCAAGAAGTAGAGCAAATTTTTTATTGTATTATATTATATAAAATTCTAAAAAAAAATTTTAGTATATTTGTTAAAGCCTTAACAATGAATTTTTACCATTACAAAAGTCGGATTACATTTTACTTATTTTGTTTACAAATTTATCTACTAAAATTTACAATAAAAATATCGATTTTTTAAAGACACCAATTGCCAGCGGAAAGTTAAACATATTTAATGTTAAATTAAAATTAATTTTTATTTTTAAATGTTAACTTGATGTGACGGCCTATCACTCGAAAAAAGTGTTTTACCACTTTGTTGCAGCATTAACCAGCCTAAAGAAATTGAATCTTAATAGTACGAAGCTGTCGGCTCAGACGTTCGAGTCATTGAAGAAGCGACTACCGGCCCTGCAAGAATTCGACGTTCGATACACGGAGGCCTGGTGACCCTGGTTTAAAGTCAAGACGTCCAACTCTTCGTCCAACGGCAGTAGTGTTCGTCGTGATTCGAAAACGAAGAAGCAACGCTGAGGTGTTTGGTCGTCCCGAAAAAAATTCAACAGACGTCATGAGATGATGTCCGTATTTTCGGTGTAATCAATTCAAATGAATATCGAGCATTGGGCGCGATAAATTCGTTTGTTTTGCTTCGATTTTGCTAATATGCGACGTCTGCTATCAGCATAACAATCAAATAACAATCGCTGAAAACTATGTACTTTGTGAAATTTTCCTAAGGAAAGGAAACAAAGTCTTTTACACTATGCAAGATGAGCTCTTATCGTGTTTATAAGTTATACCTTACGTATCTCGTTTCTTCTGATTTAATTGGTCCGATGATTTACATATTCTTTCCAGAGGGCGATAAGTATTTGCGATGGATCAACGGTTTCAGTATGTTTCGTTAAACGTACCTTCTCTTATCAACTGATATTATTTACACGAGATATTAAATCAAGATTTTCTTCCGAAACTCGTGCCAGCTAGACAGCTTGATTCCCACGACAAACATTACTTTTAAAGCGTTTCTTCCGCATCGTCGTCGACGGGAGACTGTACTTTTCAGGAACATTCCAGAACTACGAACTCAGACGTCACTTTCTAGGAAAGACGTGCATTCGTTTGAATAAATAAATATCGGCGAGCGACGAGCCGTTTCTCGAGCACTTGAATCCATTTGATATACGGAAGGTGGCATATGTAACGATCGCGTCGAAGAGTTACGATCATTAGAATTGGGAAACACGTCATTTGCGTGAGCAAAGTTGTTCATTTGAGGAAGGCGAAAGGAGGATTTGCATAAATACAATGTACCGTGTAACAATGATCGAAAACAATTGTTAGCAATCGCGGTTGATCGTTAATAATTTTTACGCGATTTCGAAGATCAGTTTCGTCGAGCGTCAATAACTTTCTTAAACAATAGTTTCAGCGAGACCTTGTTCCGTCTATTTCTGGGAAAAGGCAATTTTATTCGTTTTTATGCTATTAAAAGCGCAATGCATCTTCCTCTTTTCATCCACACACACATAATTCTTTGTACTCTTTTCATACGCATGTGCAACATTCTTTAACGATGTTACTTTTTATCATTTGCGCCAATAAAGTTGTAAGTCGTTTCGATCCACTGCGTCAGGAAACTCTCTGCTAATAGGAGAGCGACGTCAGTGAAAAGAAATAAAATATTTCTGACGAGGGAATAGCTTCGCGTATAACGAGAGTCGTTCTCTCCCTCCACATTGGCTTTCAAAAAAAAATTGTCAAACGCTCTACCATCATCGTCCAATAGATAATGTTGATTACAAGAGTCTTGATTAATCGACGAAGATTGTATTGGCAATGACGACTATGATCGTGATTGACTCCGACGCGAAACATTGTACCCAATCAGCGCGTTGCTGGACCGCAGCCGCCAATCGATTCCTCTAGGTGAGGTGTCTTTTTTCCGCCGGGGGACACTACTGACTTATCCTTTTCCGTTCAAGGCGTGCCCAACTGCCTCAATCAGAGAGTTCTGAACGACCACTGCCACAACGCGTTGCGTCAGCGAGCGTGACTTTACTCTACCAAAATGAAGGAGCGAAGCTTTGAAGTGTTCCGCGTTCTATCGCGCGAGATCGGGAAGAGCGTTTCACGCTCCAGACCAGAGCACAGAATTTTGCATAACGCATAATGTATAAAGCATGAGAGAAATAAATTAATCAGAATATTTTCATTCTATGAAAAAAAAAAATGAAAGATTCTGATTGGTTGATTCTCGTATGCTTTGTACTTTCTGCAAAGGTCTGTGCTTCGATCTACAGACGAAGCTTCGAGAGCTGCGGGTGATGCGGACTTGCATACATGCATTTCGTTCCCTAGTGTAAATAAATAGGTTAAGGATCGTCTCCCTCCCCCGTTTCTCCTTCAATTAATTAGATAGAGAGATTTTAATAATTTATTCCCTAGCTAGAATTTTCTCGTATTTATATATATATTACGATAATATTACATGTACGTCGCACGACTCAACTCATACTACTAGCGTGAATATGCGTTTAGGGGGATAGTCAAACCTCGAGTTTAGAGCGCCGGCAAGAGAGAGAGGAGAGAGAAAGACAGAGAAAGAGGGAAAGAGCGGTCTCTCGAAAAGTGGCAGGATTTGGCCGTCACAAAGAGTCGCGGTGATGATAACTGATGGTTTCGCAAAAAGACTCTCATCTCGATTATTGTAAATGCCGCAAGGGAACAAGCATTGTAAGAAGACTGTTTACGTCAATTTCAATAAGGATCATTAACTTAGGGAACCACGAATTAATTACTCGAGTTAATTCCTCAATGTTACACGTCTGTGAGTGAAGTAAATAAAATTCGAATTGAATACCTCACAGCATCCGTTCTGTCTCGCCTTCCACTGTCATTCACGTCTAAGCGAGATCTGCGTTACGATACTTGGCATTCGCGCGTGACTCGCAAAAAAACTGAGAAGTTTTTCTTTAAGTTTTATCCTTAAATCGTTTCCTCATATGTAACTCTAGCCGTTGCTGTTGCGTCGGTGAAAATCTATAAAATATACTCTGTTAGACATGTGTTACAAGAATGATCGAATGATTCGGCGTTAAATTATTAATAATCGTATCTTTCTTTGACATTTTCGTACAAATAAACTGTTTAATCGAAAACCATTGCTGTCTACATATGTTGCCTGTAATTCACAAACAATTTTGTGCCCTAATTTTCACTCCATTAATATTTACCAATTATCCTCCCACGGATAAAATATGAAGAAGAATATTGATGCTTCATTTAAATATCAAATTAATGTAACATTTATATTTGTGAAATTAAACTTACAATTTGTTATATTACTTTGATGCCGCTGCACGTGCTGACCGAATGATTAAACTAATGAATGATAGTGTGCAATTAATAATTTTTACTTTATTTGTTGTATTATTTAAATACCAAAGTAATTTTTATGCAAGTTGCACTTTAAAGAGAAATAAATAAACGCAAGAACGTTAAAATGATGATTTCATACATCTCAGGCTAACATATATATTAGTCGATACATCGTGACATTATTTTTTACGTTTGCACAAGATAAGTACGTTTTATTTTATATATGTATATATATATAGCAAAACTGAGATATATCATTTTTTAAATACAATAAAAAATTGATTAATGGATTAAATAGGAGAAATATATTCAACATTTTGTGAAATATTAAATATTTTTGTTATAATACATCTATATATGTATATATATATATATATATATATATATATATGTATGTATAATATACAAAATTTATCGTAAAATTCTGAACTTATGTGCAAATTGAGTTTACTCAAACACGTCAAAAATGCATTATTTTGACGTTTTATTATAGTAGATTATAATTCTTTTGTTTGTGGTTCTCTCCTATCGATTATTTAAAAATTAAAATTATAAAGATTTAGTTTCAATCCACACATTTTTTTATTCGTTGTTACGATAAAATAAATTATCGAGAGCATGTTTTAGAAGTCGTAATTCATTCTGCGTTGTATTACTTGCTGTTGTTGATACTTGGTAGAAATTTCCATCTGAATTTCTCTCTTTAGATTATCAGGTAACTGATCCCACACAGTTTGAGGCACGGTATCTGAAAAATAATATATCTTCTCTGTAAACGTTATAATAATAATAATTAAGCTTAAAATTGTGCATTTTCCTATACATTATTTCGTTAAAAATTTGTTATATTTTACTACATTTGTTGGAACAAATGTATCATGTTTTGTAATTTAATTGTGATAAGAGTATATTTAACTTTTTGATACATTAGGTTTGCGCTTTGTAAAAATGGCTCGGGATTGTTTGCCTTACCTGTGCACTTATACAGTAAATCCGACCAGGTGATCATCTCTTGCGAGAAACAATAGACACCCAGTTTACCACCTTGCAGAGTCGAGTCGAACACATTCCCGGAGTCGATTATCTGCTGTGTGCCCTGATACAGCCAGAATCTGATCAGGCCGATCTTAGGCCTGTGCAATAGATGCCATCTGTATGACACTCTTGGCTGCCAGCCGATCCCCGGTTCCTTCCACAAGACCCTCACCTGATTGGGTGTGTCTTCCTTGTGCCAGAGACTGTTGCGGAGCATCTCTCCCGGTCCGGTGTCGGACTGAACGAGCTTTAATACAAACCCGGGATCTGCTTCAGCGCGGAATGGGGATGATTCCCAGTAAACCTGTGCGTCTCTCTTCCAGTAAACAACATAAAAATGTCGATTATCCTGGTAGGAAAAGACGAAGCCTGCGAAATCGTCGTCGCCATCGTTGTTATCGATGTAAAAAGTTCCTTCGAAGTCAACGTTACTTAGCTCGTCCGGTCCTTTGTGAATAGAGAAATCGATGAAAAAAAAAAGTTATTATAAGTATACGAATTAATTAATAATGAAAATTTTATCTTCTTTTATATCCGTTGAATTTGACACAGTATAAATATGTAGGTAATTTATATTGTATTGCACAATTTTAATAGCGCGAATTTCCGCAGCAACTTATTTTTTACATTTTCTTAATTTTTATTAATTTTGGAAATTTGATTATCTTACTTACAATTAGTACTGCTTTTGGGACTTTCATGGGTATTATCTTCAAAGATACCAGAAGATGTGCGGGTCATCACCGTGTTTTTATCAAGTGCTAATGCCAACGTTTCGTGAACCTTATACCTTATATATTCACTTCATCACGGCGAAGATTGATACCACTATATCAGTGCACTTCTTATCCAGATGAAGTGAACGGTAAGATTCATGAAATGTTGGCATTAACAATGGACAAAAACATGACAATAACCAGCAAACCTTCTGGTATCTTACTTAGTTTTCTGAAGCACATTGTAAAAATTTATTGAGGGCAATTTGAAGATTATAAGTATTCCTTTTTCGTGTATCTTTACAATATATATATAAACTTACCTATCGCGATTCCGGGATCGCTGTTAAGAAGCTGTTGAATTTCAGCACCTTGATGATGAATTCTCCATGAGGGATCTTGTTGCGCTGTACCGTACGGATCGAGAGCGACTGTGAAATATTTACGGAAATCCGTTGCCCATACTAAACTGTTATTTGGACAATTGTCGTGGATATTAATAACCGTATCGTTGTCATTATCGTTCCAGCATGCATCGCCAATACCATCGCCTATGTGTACAAAACGTAAAATATTATTCTCTACGTGTTTCAATAATATTTCCTTTTCCATAACTAATAATAATAACAAATTTTTCATAGGAAATGTTTCAATAAAAAAAATATTAAATTTTAATGAAGTTTGTTTAAATAGTTTCATATATATAAATATTTATTTACTATAAATAAATGTTAACTTATTGTTAGTTCTATTAAAAAAATATGTATTAAGATTTAGTAAATTTTTTCACTGTTCAATATTTTGTTGAAAATTTCAAAAATTTTGAATAATAATTTATATATAATTTCAATATAGAATTAACATTCTTTTCTACATACAAAAATATAACTATTTTTGTATGTAGAAAAGAATTAGATTACAGTCTAAACGTTCTCTGCAGAAAAGGACCCGTTAAAACTTACGATTAAGATCACGCTGATCCAAATTGTAGACGTAGGGACAGTTATCGATTCTATTGGGCACACCATCTCCATCGATGTCGTCGTCACACTCGTCGCCCATGCCGTCGCGATCGACATCGTTCTGTCCGGGGTTTGCCACATCCGGACAATTGTCCTTATCATCCTGAACACCATCCCTGTCGCGATCCGCATTGGTGTCGCAAACATCCCCGACGCCATCGCCGTCGATATCATTTTGGTCAGGATTGCTAATACCAGGACAATTGTCGCAGGCATCACCGATGCCATCCGCATCGCTGTCGCGCTGATTTGGATTCTTTAAGTTGATGCAGTTGTCTTGAGTGTTGGGGATACCTGAACAATATCCCTTTATTAGCGACATATCATATTTAATTGTCAACAACTTCAATTGGTATTTTTTAACGAAAAAATGATGAAAATATATGTGGAACGCAATGTTTTATTTTGCATATATATTCGGTATTTAATCCAAACTTGCTTTTTAACACAAAATAAGGATTAAATCTAATACAAGTAAAAGATGCCTATATGAGCCTCCATGAAATTGATGATAATTTACGCACCAACATTCGCAGAAGCTTGTATAATCATGTGTATGTTACTTGTATTCTTTTTTAACGTTAAAGATTTACCATCGTCATCCAAGTCGTTATCGCACGCGTCACCCTCGCCGTCATCGTCAAAGTCCTCCTGATTCGGATTCCAATTCGTTGGACAATTATCGCAAGCGTCACCGATCTTGTCACTATCGCTGTCAAGCTGGTCTGAATTATAAATGAGCCAACAGTTATCAGTCAGATTCAATATGCCGTCATTATCGGCGTCGTCGTCACATGCGTCACCGATGCCATCATCGTCGGCATCCTCTTGGCCACTATTCGGTACCGTTGGACAATTGTCAGCGTGACAACGACGATCATGGCAATGAAGACTCCTGTCGGGAATGCTGTCGCTGTCGCTATCGGTACCGCAAGAATGTCCGTTTCCGGCCCAACCAACACGACACTGCAAAAGATTTCGATTAAAAGAGACTCGTTTTAATCAGTAAAATTAAATTGATGACATAGGCATAAGTTATAAAAATTATTATAATTATAAAAATTTAAAGTGAGTTACAAAGATGAGAGAGCTGTATATTTTTCGTTACTTTTTCTAAATAATATCCAAGTTTATTCCACTAATTTTATGTATAAGCATATTTAATACTATTTCTAAATTCTCCGTGATATTTTTTCAGTTTTTATTGAATGATAAATGCACAATAAAGTCGTGTACTTTGCATGTGAAATCGTTGGCATACATGGCGATGCAATAGGCATTGACATCACAGACTGTTATCAAATCCGGGCATACATCTTCCTGAATATGACATCCTGTCGTTTGATTGCCAACGTAACCACTTCTGCAAGCACCACATCTATAGGATCCCTTCAAGAACAGAGAGTAATATATTTGAAACGTAGAACAAAGTGGATTTTAACTTATTAATATCTAGCAAACAAGTTGACGTTATTTTATTATTTATCGTCATTTTAACGTCAAAACGATGTATTTAACGTTAAAATAACATCAAAATGACGGCAAATAACGTCAGCTTGTTCGCTGAGGAGATACCTCACCTCCGTGTTAATACACTCCGAATAGAGATCGCATCCGCCGTTGTTGGTCTCGCACTCGTTTATGTCCTGGCAGATCTGTTTTCGCGCTCTGGCCATCTCGACACCGACACCTTCCGTCATCGGCCCCGTGTAACCTGTCGGGCAACGGTCACATCTGTATCCAGGATGGAGATTCATACACCGTACTCCGGGATGACAGGGTCGCGCCAGCTCGCATTCATTTGCATCGAGACAGGCTGTGCCATTACCCACATATCCCAATGGACATGAGCCGCATCTATATTACACATGAGATTGACAAGAACTGAAAGAGATTGATACGCATATTTCGTATGTTTTATCTAATTCGAGAAAAATATAGAATATGTAATTGAAGAAGAATTACTAAACTAAGCGGACATAAAGATTTTTATACTATTTCTCTGATATATATAAATTTTACATAAAAAATTTATTGATTGCGTAATTTTGAGGAGTAATATTGCGCGCACGTCTCTTAAACAAGCTTTATAATTTTTATAGAAATAATGTATTTCAGTAAAAATGATATGTAGGATCCAAAGAAAACATATGTTTGTCAACTTGAGTTTGTTTACTTGAAATACGGTGGACTGTGAGTGGGATAACATTTAACTTCCGGGTGACAAGGGTGACGGTCGCAAGGGTTTCTCATCCTGTCGCATCTTTCGCCATCGCCGATGTATCCACTTGGACATCTGTCGCACCTGAACAGAATTATACTTAAATTACAACAGAAGTTCTCGTGAAACTTATGTTATCATTATAAAGAAGTTATCTTTAGTTTATTTGTCTTATATCCATTTTTATCACATGTACAATAAATTAACTTTAATCTTGGTTTTACTTACTTTTATCTTTTTTGCTAGTTCTGTGAATTAAGGTAAACCTTATTCTATTACAAATATAAATAATTGTTAGAGATTTAGTGGCTATCTTTACCTGTAACCATTATTACTGTCATCGTAACATCGTACCCCCTGGAAGCATGGCCGTTGAAGACAGGTGATGGTATTGATTTTGACGCAAACCCGTCCATTTCCGGTGTAACCGCGTAGACAGGGGCCGCACTGGGGTCCGCTCGGTGTGTTACGGCAATCGACGCCGGGGTAGCACGGGGAGTTATGGTCGCACGTGGACGGCGGTGGTGTTGTCACTACGGAATTACCGGGATCACGGCTCGAATGACGAGTGAATTGCCAATTTTCGGGGGATTTTCAATAGCCGGTCTTCCATACGCGCTGTGCACACCATCGAGCGGGCCCGGCGCGGGCCCAGAAAATTATGCAACGGCCCAGCGTGTCGTACGTGCACGTGCAAGTGGTATACGTGTGCTTAAATTGACTTAAGATCGAGGTCGCGGATCCTGCGCGACGTCGATCTTGATCCCCTTACAATAAGGATAGTGTAATAATGGGATAACTATTACACATTTGCAAGCGTTCAGCTTAATTTTAATTAACTGAATTAGTCATTCTTTCATAAAACATTTACAAGTGTCTGAAGGAGAAGAGAGAAAGCAAGTAGAATTTTTCTCGATTATACTGCAATGCAGGATCTTTATGTAAATTGTAAATTTTTAATTGAAGAACAATTAACTCGGAGAAATTAGCGACGTTTGATCTTTGCGGATACAAATATCGCGTTTTAAATGAAAGCTTCCGCTAGCTGCCCACATATTGAAAGAGATTGCGCAACGCAAGAATATAAGAGTCACAACAAAGTTGAATTTTTCTAACAACAGGCATTTATTGCGTTGAAAGATTGCTTAATACAACTCGTTGCATATAAATAGATAGTCTCCGCTGACAACTGTCACGTACAGATTAAGTTCGAGGGTGTGAAGGACGACGCGCGTGAGATAGATTAATAAGATTCATTCAACTGGCATTACGATGCGGTTTTGGCTAACTTCTAAAAGTTAAAAGAACTGTTATTTTCGAGCACGTGTCCTTTCAATACGACGGAACGTCACTCACCGATGGGTGTACGACACGCCGAGCAGTTTTCGATCAAATGACGAAGATGTTGGGTTTCCATCCTCTGTAAAACGAAAAACGATCAGTCTTTTAAATTGCGGACACTTTTTCTTATAATTGAATAATATATTTCTTTTATCAAAATGTTTTAATAATAAAATTTTATGTAATTTTATATTAAAATTATTTTTAATGTACGTGTATAAACAAAAGAAATATAAGAATTAAAACATTTTTTGTATTTATTTTAATTTAAAATCAATATGGAAGTATTAATTTAAGATCTAAAGATACTAATTCACATATAATGAAGAAATTACTTTATTACTTGATTTAACTCACACTTAGTTCCAATTCCCTCCCGAGTTTCCTGGTAGCGTTGATTAATTCGTTCAAGGTTTTCACGATTTGATCATCGGTCTGGCAAACTGGAAAACACTTCCCGTGAGAACACATATTAACCAACTTAATTTAATATCCTCTTATCTCACCTACCTTTCTCATCCAGACTTTGGATTCCGATGTCGCCTCTTCTGGGTACTCTTTTGCCGGATAATTCATCTGAATCAGGCATATCCGTCTGATTTGGATAAGGGTATCCATTCTGACCCGAACTACCGTGATACGGACTTCGACCAGGTCGTTTAGGATTATTGAAAGGATTAGATCCAACAGATGATCCAAGAGACTCGTCTGATGTTGGAGCAGGATTTTTGTTAAAATCATATGGACTCGATCCATCAAGTTGTTTGTCAAAGCCGTACGGATCCGATTTATCGGGTTTTGAACCTGATTGATTGGGTTTACCAGATTTAGGATGTTTTTTGGGGCGAGATGCTGGAGACTGTGGAGGGTGAGGTCCATACGGGTAGTCAAGATCGTCCGTTTGACCAGATTGAGAAAACGGATCGGAAGAGTCGTATGGATCATATTTATTGGGTTTGTTTTTGTCTTTTGGATATCCCGAGGAATCTTTCTTCTTAGGTCGATTGCTGTCATTCGGATGACCACCGTGATGCTTCTTATCGGAAGGTTTCTTATGATCCCAAGGAAACTTTGAGTTACTAGAAGGTGACAGACCGTTATTATTCTGACCAGGTAAATTCGGTCCGTTAATTTCATCACTTGATTCGTCAGGTTGATCGGTAGGCTTATTTTGATAATCTTCATCGGAATCAGTAGGTTGTGTTTTCGGTGTATCTGTATCGAATACTGAAGGCTGCTTCATCTTGGGTAGATTGTCAGGACATTGCTCTTTTCTCAGGACATCAGTGATGGTTGCAGACTGATATACTTTTGTTCTGCATTTTCTTTCTCTGAACTAAAAGAATTTATAAAGTGTTCATTAATGGATAAATATATTGCTATTAATAAATCTTAATTAAATTAATGAAGTAAATAAGAATACAATAGAATTCCGTTTATCTACACAAATAAGTTTATGCTTAGGTTCAAATATCCAAACTCATAGTTGAATTTTTGTTATCTGAATTACGACGTCGTAGATATAGTATAATAATAAGGAGCTCAACATGCTCGATTTCAATTTTCTGAACGTCAGCTTCTATTATCGAGACTAATAAATGCTAGTAGAGAAAGTTAGTGAATCTCTATTATCTAAATCACTCAGTTATTGAAATTGTCTTGTTTCCCGATATTCTGATAAATGGAGTTCAACTGTAATATATATTATCAAGAACAAAAATATTAACAATATTTTGTTGAATTTCTGTCGAAATTAATATGATAATTTAAAGAATAATTTTAATTTTAATAATGAAAGAAATCCGCAAAAAAATTAAATCAAGAACAGAAAGTAGTCATAGAGTTATAACATTGCATAAAGTCAGAATGTAATATTACTATAGTGGCAGAAATAGGGCGCGAATAATTCATTGAAACGAATTCAATTCATCCAAGTAGTCAGGGATCGTTGTGTCTGAGTTGGGTAAGCCAACCAGGTGCATGTAACAGAAGCAACTAGCTTAGGTCTCGTCAACCATATTTGGAAAGACGTCGTCCCACGTTTGTGGACGTCACGAACAACACGTAAATAAGAAACTGCTACGTTCGTGAGCGAAGAAAGCAACAGCAAAAAATAATATTGAGCTAAAGTAAAGATGCGGAAAAAAACGGAAACTTTTTTTCAAATTTAAAAAGCAACTTCCGACGATGTGTTCGCGTTTACATGTTTTTAATTTCTCAGCAAACGTGCGAAAGATTGATTTAATTAACATATGTGATAATATATCCAAGATTTATCTAAATTAAAACTTTATGAAAAATATTTCGTGAAAGGTAAAAACTTACTACTTCCACGTCTAGGTTGTCCTCGATCTCAGCTATGTCGCGGAAAGTTGTCTTGAACGGTATAGAACCCTCGTAAGTACAATCGACGTACACATCCACACGAGGATTAGGCTGTGCCTGATGTACCAGCATAATCAGACTCTTCAGAGGGGTATTTACTGTGAGACTGTCCACTTTGACATGTGATGCGCTGCGTTGACCAGCCTCATCGAGACTTTCAAGTATAACTGTGTAATGACAAACATAAAATAATTATAATACAGAAGTTCAAAGGATTGCGGTTTCACAGACAAATCTTGACTCACCGCGCTTTGTTCGTCGATCGAGTAAGAGCACTAATTTCGTTTTAACGCCCCGATACTTCACAGCTAACAGAGTCTCCACTGAACCGCTGGAAGATTTCTTTTTATCCTTGAAGTTGGATATTGCAATAATGAATTCATCATCGTACCAAGCATCCTGCAGGCTTGCAGTTAGAGCTGTTGTAAAGCGGAATAAAAAAAGATGATAGCATAATTAAAAATAATTATATGTATATATATAACAAAAAGCTTAATTGTTAATTAATAGAATGTGTTGTAGTTTATTTATGTCGTTTAATACACATTTAAAGATACAATATAAAAAATTCTGCGAAAGAATACAAGAGTTGAGTGACCAAGAGTTGATCAATGCAACCGTGAAGATATATGTCTCACGTATCATCGATCTCACGTTACTACCGGGTTTCTTGTCACGCCGCGCCGCGCCGCGCCGCGAATGGTCTTCGACAGTACAGATAGTTGTAAGAAACTTGAAGAAAATAAAGGAAGAAATATTTTATTTTTTTGCGAGAAGAGAAGAATGCGAATCGAAGTTAACATGATCGTTGTTAATTCGTCAATATGGAATTACCCTTATAAACATTTGTCACTTTTCTTACATAATCAAAACCTCTTTAAAACTTTACCTCTGTCAGGTATGACGCTACCATCGACAGCGTAGATAACCAGCAGTACGAGAATCAACAAAATCGGGACCCGCATCCTGATGGGACCCCGATGCACTTCGCGCAAGTATTCGGTATCGTTCGTGGGTTTCCAAAAATTAAAAAGTGTAACCCAAATTTCTTGCAATCCCCTCGATGCTTATACTCTCTCGGAATCGCGATGCGGTGAATTCTAACGGATACGACGGCACGCGCGCGGATGCAGAAGGCACGGCCGCCGACTGGAGCGCGGATACGGACTGTCCGCGACTTTATACGTCGCCCACGAATATGGCTTTACAAACGAGATTTTGTACTACCTGCGCTTGACACGTAACGAACAGAGAAAGCACCGATGAATTAAGATGAATCAAGAGATCTCATAATTATTTTATTATTTTAAAAAGACTGTAAATTGTTACAGTCCTAAAAAAAAGAAGGCTAGAACAAGAGCGACAAGAGCTGCGTTTGAGATTTAAAAATTAAAACTAATCTTGCAAACACAAAACAACGTGAAAAAATACAATAGAAAGATAAGAATAAAGAAATAAAGATTGCAAATAAAAATCTGTACGTGCGCGAATGTAATTTATAATTAAATTTGACGATTGGGAAAGAACAGATGAATGGAAGAATTAATTTTTATATTTATTTGTAAAGATTTTATATCTCAAAAATATTTATTTGAATGTACAATATATTACTTTTTTGTGAAATTTACATTTTATTTTATGTTACTGGATGCGTTTTATTAAACCAATTCTGCAATTCGAAGTAGACAGTGGAGTAAGCAATATTATTGCCGTATGATCTCGCTGAATGATTAATGTTCGTCAATATATTACTCCGACATTATTGTATGCATCCGCCCACAAGATGTTTTTAACGATATGAAATAGTCATAGCGGAAAGGTGTGTCAGAGCCGGCGCTAATACAATATAAATTAAACGCTTCCTTCTACGGTGACACGAGGAATTTCTCGGCGAAATCGATTAATATGCAATACTCATTCGCACATTAGCATTTCGTGTCTTTTTTTATTTTGGAATACTATACCCATAAAACTATCGTCACATCGTGATATTTATAGACTACAAGGGAATTCTGTAGGAAGATAGCGTTCGTAATTTCGGATTCTCTCTTATCGATATATCAATTCTTTTTTATATTATAGCTTAAAAAAAAGTACTCCAATCTCGGAGAGAGTTTTTGTGACAGGAGTTTAGGTCTTCCTGATGCGACGGACCTTGCAACAGGTACGTAACAATATCGCTGGTGTGCCAGTTACACGTGTAGTGTGGGAAGTGGTCCCACCTACACACCCACACCAGTTTCAAACCATAGACACGTTGCAAAAAGCCTAGTTTCCTCAATGGTGATATACACGGTGTCTCCAAAACAGTTGGTACCCAAAATTTAATCTTTGAATTCGATAGTGAACGCTAACTAGATCATTTATTTGTGTAACCTAAGCAACGTCCTGATATTAAATATACAAATATTTTGTAAATTAAATATTTATAACTTATACAAATTCCCAAGAAAAAGTCAACACAAAAGTTAAAAAATTAAAAGTACTTTATTTTATTCTTAATGTCAAAGTAACAAAAAAAAGTCATCATTTTGACTCCCATTTAATTTTTTCTTAACTTGGTGTGTCAATTCCTTGGATTATTTTTTCCTTTTAACACTCTTCCATGTTTCGTCCGTCGTTTTGTCACATCGGATGTGATGTTTCTAGTTTACTAGTAGATTGATTTGTAATAATATCGGGGGAGCTTGTTTTATGGGCGGAAGATAATCAGTCTTATCCGATTTCAACATAACAAAACGTTTTGCTTTTACATTTCGACACGTCATACCATTTTTCGTTCCCGCGATACACGTGCCGTGGCGAACACGCGGAACGAAAGGAACCGCTTCGGTCATTTCGTCTTCTGCATTAACTACATTTCAGCCGTGTCCGATGCTGACCGAGACTTAGCGCGCGGCCGCACCGTACCGCACGCGATCAATTTTCCATCCTAATTGACCGACATTACAGATACGATGTGCGGGCTGAGTCTGATGTATGTAACTGGCCAGACCCGACACGAAGTTACGCAGATTTAACTCAATTCAGGCTAAGCTAGCGAAGGCTGCAGAGATGCGTCTGCTTCCGGGAAAGACGCTGACTCCCTTACCTGTTATGGACCGAAATACATCATTACGTATAACATATTACGTTACTCGATCACGCAGGGTAATCACGATAATAATCTGAATATTAAACGTGTCACATAAATTACAATTTTTTTATTTACGGAAAATATACAAATAGAAACACAATGGGTTGACTGCGCGAGTTTATCCCTTAAAAGTTTTTAAATAATGAAAGAGGATTTTTTGCGCGAAACGCAAACACACATATTTTGCTCGATACATTTTTTTTTTCTTATAAAAATATACGAAACATAAGCAGGGTACAAATAGCTTACGTAACTTGTTTGCACAACCTTGTGTCGCGAAAGTATATACAATAAAAAAAGAAAGAACACATACTCGATGAAGCACGTTCGCGGTTGCATTTGCAACGTTTGCTTTTATATCGTAACAAATACATATAAAAACTTAGTCTATAATCTTCTTTTAAAGGTTCTTATCTAACTTGAAAATAAATACATCTAGAAAGAGAGAGAGAGAGAGAGAGAGAGGAATGAATACATAGTTTACCCAGGAAAATCTGTTTTTCTTTTCATCTTCATCGCGCAACTTCGTTAGAAGATCTTCTTCCACCGGGTATGATTTAATTTGATCGATCACAGTCGCTTTCATCTCGCTTAATCTCATCATGCATCTGGCAGAATAAGACGAGGAACTTTTGAATAGCTCTGCATACATAACAGTTTCCGGACGGAATCCGTAAATGGATGTACCGTCATGTAAGATGTAGTTTATGACAGCAATACTGCTGAAACTTATTTTCTCAAAAAAACGCAGATATTTTGCCAATATCATTAATTTATACGCATCTATTCGAACCAGCGAACGTCGCGTTCATTGGCAATCGAGAAGTTTGACGGATAGAGACAGAGGCGTGACCCGGGTCTCAATGGTGGCTGTACGGCCTGTACGCATTGGCGCCTAGAACGAAAATAGAGATTTTCGTGAAACTTAGAACTACTGCAGTTCAAAATTTTGTCTAATCGACGCAACGTCTTGATAGCTTTTCATTTTTTTTAAACGTCTTTGCATCTGGTTCAAACATTCAGCGTTGTTTTTTGTAGCTTAATTGTTATCATAAATTTATGTTTTTTTATTTCTTCAAAAAAGCATCAATGTTATCACTCTTTTATTAATCGCGCGTGGAAACATGCGGATGCAAAACGTGGGATAGGGGAGATTTATTTATCAATTAGTAGAGAAAAATATTTAATTATATTGAGATAACAAATTACCATTACGGTCATGCGATGAACGTCTGTTATATGAAGTTGGAGAATTAAAGAGAATCGGTAATGTTATTACGAAAACGGTGAAAATGGAATCTCTGGCGTATGCGACAACAGGAAGTTCCATAGTTGTGTTGCCAAGCTTCAGAAGAGGATGGGACTGAAGCTGTGCCTGTAAATACAGGCAACAGCCAACTATATTAGCTTGAATGCTTTAGTTTAGTAGAAAAAAAAGTGTTAATATAATTTTTTAATTTTTAACAAACGTGATTTATTGAAATATACCTCTTCTTTAATGCAAGCGGTACAGATTCATTTTCGTCTTCGTAAGATGTTAAAATATCTATTGTGATTGCATGGATAAATGTGGCATTAACGACACGTAGAGCGCGGATAATCGATTTAATGTGACAATTACACGAATTCGTCCTGAATCGAATTCTATTTCACGCTCGAAGTGACTATGAATTTGATTAACATCGGCTATAAGATCGTTACGTATGCATATCGAATATCTAAATTTTTTAATGGAAATCTTTGTCGATAAAGTAATTTAAGATTTTATATGAGATATCATCGAAGTTAATGATGTCTCGGGCTAGAAGCTTCATTGAAGAGAATTTACAGCGTTATATATTCGAGGTAGATACTTACTTTGTTTCTTTGACGAATATTGAAGATACCATAGATGATGGGATTCATGCTGGAGTTAGTGCACGCGAAGAAGAAAAGAGCTCTCTGAATGCGTGGGTCGACTTTGAGAGCTGATGATCGATCAATCCAATACCTGTTTACCGATAAAGATCATAGAATTCAGTAGCGAGTTTTTTAATTTAAGAGATGTTATTTTCCTTTTTATAAGATAGAAAATTTGCGTATCTACGGTCGTGAACGTTGGCTACGATAAAATCGTACATACTATTACGTCATCGATTTTTGTACATTTGCATAACCAGTCCAGCGATACTGTTGACTTTTTGAATGCTATTACTAATATATTGCGATTGATTTTTAGTTGACGACAAAAATATTTCCGAAGTTATGAGTAATTACAAACTCACCAAACGCTCATCACGTAGTAAGGACTCCAACAGATAATGAAGACAGCGATAATGGTTATCGTCATTTTTAAGGTGCGTACTCGCGCTCGGCTTAGAAAACCGCTCGAGGACCGACGTATTTTGTCTGTAAAAAATACTTGTTTAGTCCATCATTTTATTATCAAGCACCAATGCATCATTTATTTATTATCAAGTTAATTAACATATCTCCTATTAAATCTGTATATTTGTTAATTAAATCAGAAATACACTGAGAAAAAGTCTGATAATAGCTAAATATATTTTGTTTAGCAGATTGGTACAATATTTAGAAAATATTATCAGATATAATAATAATATAATCAATCTATGATCATAATTACTAAGTATTTAGAAAAGTAAAATTAGCGTTAGTTAGTTCAAGTACATGCTAATTTTTTTGGTTATATTAATTGAAAATTTAAAATTATTTCACTTAACATATCGATCATCTTTTACACATAAAGGAGAGACATGTACAATTGCTAAAGAGGACTCCGAAGTGAGTTGAAACGTACAATTTGATGGAATAAAGGATTTTGAGTAAAAAATTTTATAATTTTTTTACTTATGTGCTGTTAACCACGCTGAATTTGTTCGGCTTAATCATCATTATTAATCTTAATATTTCATAGCTATTACTAGATTTTTTTTCAGTGCACGCGTTTCAAATAACTTCAGCGTGCAGTATGAATAATTCTTACAGTACGATAAATTACATTCCACTGGTACCTTCACTCCTTTCCTTAGATCTACGGCAGATCTCCATGAAAATACTGGTGTAAGTATAAAGTATTACAATCAGGGGGAACCAATACATCACTACCATACCGAACAAACTGTACGAAACTTCATGCACGTATGATGGGAAGATATTGAACGTTATGCATTGAGTATAACAAGTATAATTTGGATGCGTCTCAAGATGGAACACCAACATCTATAGGGAACGAAACATGCCGTTTAACGCCAGTCACGAAGCGAAATGGCATCTCATACAGTTTGAGTAAAAGTTAGTGCACCTGTGGCATGGAACAAAGTATAGAGCCAATCCACGCAAGCATCAGCAATATCTTCCCTCTCCTGTGAACATCTAGTATTTGGAGGGGTCGCATCACGGCGTAATATCTAGAAAATAAAATTACATGTGAAGTCTTATCGAAAACATGCGATTATCTTAAATATATTGCAAATTGTGTTAACGTATCCTACAGTAGAAATATCCTGAATATATCGTACAGATATCCTACAAACATTGCGATATTAAGTTGCTGCTATTATATTTGCGATACTAGACGATATAATTTGGATATTTTTGCTATATAGAATATCACGGCGATTGTAACTAATAGTGAGTTTAATTGAATGCACTTACAATCAATACGCATTAGTGCATATTAAAACTGTTGTACATATAATACATAATTACCGTAAAGATGTGTGTTTAACAAATATAGAAATGAGTTAAATTATAAAATACTCAGCATATTTTAATGTTAATAATAATTAACATGAACAATTCTAGATTATTCATAAGTTAACTTTCGCTCGTATGATAATAAAACAAATTCTTACATTAGCATACCAGGTCAAATATTTATTTAAACGAGCTAATAATTAGTACTAAAAATAATTTTAAATCTTTACAATATAATTTTACGCAGAACGTTTCGACTTTACTTAGTCATCATCAGCCGCGACACAAATTTTGACAATCCCCTTGTAAAATACATACATTAATCATAATACATATTAAACCCCACGATGTCATTAATATGAAGCACTTTCCTTACAGTATGAAATAACAGAGAAAATACATACTAAAAAAGATTAACCATCTAAATTACATTTGTCATCGTCTATAAAATCAATGAGCCCATTCTACGGTAGCGAAAACAGGCAGTCATTCTGTGTCCCAAACGAAGAGAGTGGATCCTTACTGAGTCAATTGTTAAAAATGGTTTTTTTCAAAGTTATTGTCATGTAGTGCGATGTGTGTATTGTAAGGTTTGAATTATGCTCTGTTGTAAAAAATATAGAGTTTAGTTATACTTTAGAAACAAGTCTGGTTAATAACGTAAAACACTTACTAATATTCTGTGGTACGATGTATTTTAATATTGTTAATTTGTCAATTTCTTTAAAAAACTTATGTTATAAATTATAAACTGGACATATACATGTTGGTTGTGACAAAATTGTATTGTGAATAAGTCTTATGTCTACCAGAAAGTCAAACACACATTTATCCCACTCTATTTATTGTTATTAGAAATTGAATCCAATAAACAAACATATATGTCATCTAAAGATTCGGTGTCTTTCTTTAAATTTATTCCGTTTGATTGTTCTTTTATATGTAACATTTCAGAAATCAGTCTTTTATTGTAATTTGATTCAGAGTCTAAAATTTTGACGTGATTCCAATCAATATTATGATTACATTGTAGTGAATGCAACGTAACCACCGAATGTTTAGATGCCTCCAAGTGTTTATTTTTCATTATGATGCATCGCAATCTTCAGTGTAATTTATAAACCAAATTATTGTTATCGTATAAACTTTTTTTATCTTTATGTACTCTAATAAATTTGTTTAGTTTGTTTATACATTTATATCCGATGGTATAAACCGATTTACTGATCATTTTCGTGACTGATTGCGTGACACCTCGAATAAATGGAAGAACAAAAAATTTTTCTTTTGTCGTTTTATTTATTTTATCTTGTTTATTATTAATATTATTAGATAAATTGTACAAAGATAATTTTCTTATTCTAGCGTTCATCGTTTTAAAAATTAATTCTAAAGGATATCCATTATTTTGGAGAGTCCTGTTAATAACCATTTCCAAATTTTTTTGGTGAAACTTTGGATTCGACAATAAAATTGCTCTGTCTACTAAGCTAAAAATTGTGCCTTTTTTTTGACATAAAGAATGATTTGAAAAGTAAGATAAATATCTACCCGATTCTTTCTGAAATCTTTATGAAACACCAGTCAATCGAAATCACGCCTTCATCAACAATGATCAATAAATTCAAAAAACTTATTCTGTGGTTAGATTCAACTTCAACGGTAAACTGCAACCTATCATGTATACTATTAAAAGTTTCCTGTATCAAGCCAACCCTATCAGCAGGTGTCGACATAATTATGTCGTCCACATATCGAAAGTAAAATGAGTCACTTAAATTAAGAGAATTTAAAGCTTTTTCCTCAAGATCCTGTAAAACAATGTCTGCTACTATGGGAGAAAGGGGAGATCCCATAGGAGTACCATGAGTCTGTCTATATGTGACATCGTTGAACTTGAAATATGTTGAAGATATCACAAATTCAACCGCCTGTAAAAATTTGTTCTTCGGGATAGATATCTTATGTTCAATATATTGCTTTTGTTAATGCTTTCTATAATAAGATCTTGAGGTACATTAGTAAACAATGATTTAACATCTAGAGAGATTAGTATATCAGAATCCTTGATTCTTTTGCCTGAGAGTTGTTTGTATAGGTCATAACTATTAGGAGCTCTTCTTAAGTTTTGAGGTAAATTCTTACTTATAATATTGTGTAAAAACTCTGCTAACGGATATAAAGCAGTGTTTATGGAGGATACAATTATCCTTAATGGATAATTTTCCTTGTGAATCTTAATAAGGCCATATGCTAAAGGAAGGCATGAGTCAGATGATTGGAGAACAAACTTTTTATTATTGGAGATAAATTCTTTGTCGCACCAACGTTTAATCATTGAATTTAAATCTTTTTCTAATTTTTTAATTGGATTTTTCTTTACTATGTTATAAGTACTGTTATCTCTTAATAATTCCTCCATTCTTTTGTTGTATTCATCTTTGTTTAGCGCAACTGTAACATTTTCTTTATCTGCCTTTGTGAAAATAACATTAGGATTCATTTTGTAAAACGAAGAAGTGTTTTTGTACAAACTCATAATTTCGGAATCTAATTCATTTATATGTTTATTAATTACAAATTTTTCTAGTTTAGGGACTGCAATAGTGCGTAACTTATTTTTACATTTATTATTGAATGTCCGATTATTATTTTCGAAATCTTTAATGAATTCATGTACCGCATACTGTTTATTTAACGATGGTGGGAGACTAAAATTGTTACCTAATTGTAATAAGTTTGATACTGATGGTGGTATGTTCGTTCCTGATAAATTAACAAACCATTTTTTGTTAGTGGAATCTAACGGATTACTTATGTTATCTGTGAAATTTTTAGGATCTATGAATCCTTTAACCTTCTCATTATTAGATGATTCATTGTTTAAACTAAACTCAATCGGTTTGATTTTATTTATATTTTCTCTATCCCTTCTAATTCTTAAATTAAAAAATTTTTTTCTATGTATATTAAATTGTCTAAACCTAAAATTATTGAATGAGATGTTATGATGTATTTGAATGTTTCTCCAAATATAAAAAGGAAGACAATTATTTAAATGGTTGGACATGGTTGTCATGGACCTATACAAACTGTCCAACAATCTATGCATATCATAAATTTCTATCTTTAATAATAATTTTTTACCTAAGTAATTATATAAATTATCAATTTTCTTTATAGAATTATAGTGACCAGAGAACTAAACAAATTTATTAGAGTACATAAAGATAAAAAAAGTTTATACGATAACAATAATTTGGTTTATAAATTACGCTATAAAGACTGCGATGCATCATATGTGGGGCAAACGAAGAGAAGACTTAATACAAGAATAAATGAGCATATGAAAAATAAACACTTGGAGGCATCTAAACATTCGGTGGTTACGTTGCATTCACTACAATGTAATCATAATATTGATTGGAATCACGTCAAAATTTTAGACTCTGAATCAAATTACAATAAAAGACTGATTTCTGAAACATATAAATATTTGATTGTTCTTTTATATTACATATAAAAGAACAATCAAACGGAATAAATTTAAAGAAAGACACCGAATCTTTAGATGACATATATGTTTGTTTATTGGATTCAATTTCTAATAACAATAAATAGAGTGGGATAAATGTGTGTTTGACTTTCTGGTAGACATAAGACTTATTCACAATACAATTTTGTCACGACCAACATGTATATGTCCAGTTTATAATTTATAACATAAGTTTTTTAAAGAAATTGACAAATTAACAATATTAAAATACATCGTACCACAGAATATTAGTAAGTGTTTTACGTTATTAACCAGACTTGTTTCTAAAGTATAACTAAACTCTATATTTTTTACAACAGAGCATAATTCAAATCTTACAATACACACATCGCACTACATGACAATAACTTTGAAAAAAACCATTTTTAACAATTGACTCAGTAAGGATATCCACTCTCTTCGTTTGGGACACAGAATGACTGCCTGTTTTCGCTACCGACCGTAGAATGGGCTCATTGATTTTATAGACGATGACAAATGTAATTTAGATGGTTAATCTTTTTTAGTATGTATTTTCTCTGTTATTTCATATTGTAAGGAAAGTGCTTCATGTTAATGACATCGTGGAGTTTAATATGAACGTTATGTATTATGATTAATGTATGTATTTTACAAGGGGATTGTCAAAATTTGTGTCGCGGCTGATGATGACTAAGTAAAGTCGAAACGTTCTGCGTAAAATTATATTGTAAAGATTTAAAATTATTTTTAGTACTAATTATTAGCTCGTTTAAATAAATATTTGACCTGGTATGCTAATGTAAGAATATTTTAATGTACTGTTAAGTAAAATATGCATTTTATAATTCAAAATATTTGCATTTTATTTTTACAGTTAGATTAATTCAGTGTACATACAACGACTTTAATGTGCAGTACGCACTGCGTCCAACTAAATTTTATAAACATTTGGTTAACTGAAAAAAAGAAGTGTATTGTAGAATAATCGCGGTTTATAGTTATGCTGACCTGTCTATACTTATGCAGACTATTATAAAGGATGAAAGATACAGGCCAAACGTCCTGAAAAAAGCCATTATGCGACACATCGCGTCTCCTGCCTCCCAGGATACCGTGCTCGCCCATCCGATTTCAAATGGCATCATCAAAAATGTCACCTGATGATAAGATGCGACACATCTCATATCGTTTGCTACATTGAAGCGCAAATCGCTAACAGTATGATTACTTTATCGAAAGTTATTTGCGCTCGCATCGTTATACTTACAAAGAGGTCAGCGATCGACAAATGCATTACGAGATTCTGTATCCGGGACTTGGACTTTCGTTTTTTTATTATGGTCAGCACGGAAATATTTCCAATGGCCGATATTACCATTAGGATGCTATAAGTGATAATCGTTACCAAGTGGCCGTCATTGAAACGCAATTCGATTGGCAGTTCCGTGTGAGCCGTGTCATTGCACTTGAGGATCTCCTCATTGATCTCGTCTAATTGCATTATGTTCCCCATATCGTTGAAGATCAAATTATCAATCATCTCTGAAACTATTACGTTCAATCTTATTAAAATATACAATATTATTGTATATACGCGGGCGAAATGAAGCGTTATAATCATGATTATTTTAATTTTGTAGATTTCTAATTATTTTATAGTAATTTTACTGTAACATATTGAGAATGACCCGATCGGTGTCGAAACGTTTGTAATTATTATTTTTATTTTATTATATAACTGGCCTTCAATTATTCTATTTTATTTTATCTTTCGCATGTATTTTCTCGTTTTAATTGCACAAATATTTCAAATTCTTTTTCCTATTCAAGAGTTTATAGAATAATAAAAAAAAATGTTGGAGGATAAGACTTGTAATATTTATTATGATATGAATTCAAAATTGCATGCTCACATGTTTAGCTGAAAAATTTGGGAAATATTCCGGAAATATATAATAGATCGGAGTAATACATCTAAAGAGAATGTTCCAATGGAATAATACGTAATTATTCGTGTAATTATTCAAACAGATACACGTATCATGATGAATATTTGCTAAATCGTATTCGTTTGTGTTTAGTGATTTGCATTTAAATACAATATATGGATTATACATCAAAGAGTTATATTATATAATACAAAAGCGATCTGTGATTCAATACCCTAATAGCAAAATGTCAGCAATTTGGGGCCAAATTGGCATCTCGATAAACTCAATCAGATTTTAACTACAAAATCATTGTCATTTGTGTCCACATTTGGCTACGAATTTGTTGACAAAGCTTACTGATAGGCCATGTCAACAGATGGTAGCAGAAACTGAGTAAAATATATCTGCCCAAATCAGGTTCTGCTCTCAATCTGCTTATCTCTTAATCTGTTCTTAATCTTCCATCAGGTAATGCAGGACTTTGTTCGGTTTCTGCCATCAATTTGTTGGCATAGCGTGTTTTGTAAGCTTTGTTCAATTTCTGATAGCAATTTGCTTACAATGTCAGATGATATAAACTGTGTGTATAATTTGTTGTCCTTCTGCAATCAGAAATTGGTAGCAGGCTTTGCTATCAGGGTAAGAAGTTTGGATAACTAAATAAAATTGAAGAAAGAAATGGGATTAAAAAAATTTTTAATGTTTTTATTGTTTATTATTGTTAAAGTAAATTAATATTTTTTAAATCTACTATATTAAATGCAAAAACGAAAGATGATTTTGTTGTAAAAATCATTTAGCTTCTCAAACTAATTTAGTTATTTCTAAAAGAATGTTTACATAGATATAAAAAGATAATTTAAGAAAGAGAAAATAATTTTCAAACAGAATATGCTTGTGTAAACAACTTTTTATGAGTTGTTTACGTTGTTTTATATCTTACATGAGAAACAGGGATGAAATCGCTTTCACATTGTAGAACTTTGGGTTAAAAAATTGCATAAATCCTGATTTATATTATAAATCAGTCAGACAGAGCGAATGCAAAATAATATATACTTTAAAGCGATATTCGTTGATCGCGATCTACTTGCAATTGTAGCACTCCTACGCGCTGTTGACAATGAACCCTCATCGTACGGGGTGTGTTATAATACTGATCCGTTTTACTTCTCGAGTTCTCTGACATATCGAAGCTTCGGCGCAGGTCTGAGCGTCGTAGGTGCTAAAGCTCAATTATGCCCGTTTCTATCTATGTAGTTTATTTATTTTATGTTATCTTACTGATGAGTCTAGTAGTGGAGGCTGGGACGAAACGCCGACTTGTGATATTCTTCGCAATATACCAAAAAAATTAAAAAAAAAAATATAAAAAGAAAAAAAAAAATTAATTAATTTTTAAGAATTCGGTTGCGATTGTTGAGGACTCTGTGAAGTCGAAACTTTTCCGTATATACCGATGTACCTAATTATTAATAATAAATTTATATATATTTCTAACAACTAGTATAGCTCAATTAGTTTTTGACCTGGGAGGTATATTAAGTTTAATTTGTAATTTATTTGAGCGGATATCAATTTAATTTAATATTTATTTTAATCTTGGATTAACTAATTCTTCTTTTTCTACTTTAAAAAATTAAAAAAAGGATGAAAAGCAAGTTGAACCGAGATTAAAATTAATCTACATTGATAGAAACAGGTATTAGTCTACTATTTTTTAATGTACTATTATGTTATCTGAGAACTGGTTAAGATCGTGCTCGGTTTTTCGTTAAGAAAAAATGAAATAGAATAAAAAGATTAAAGAGGAAGCAACCCATTTATCTTACAATTGCATTGCTGCACGTGTTTTAAGATTAAAACATCAATGTAGATCGCGTTCCAAAGTATCAAATCCACTTTACATCATTTGCTTGACATGCGCAGAAACACGGAACTAAACTTCGGCCTCGAGGCACAAAGTGCATCGGGGTGGGAAAACACGTTAAGATATCATTAACAAGTTGTTTTTCTTCAATTAATTGCTGTAATGAACTTCGTTTAATCGTGGTGCGATTTTTTGGAAATTTAAGTGATATAATGTGACGCTTGTTTTGGTAGAATTTAATACTATTACATACTAAACTTTATGCTTCAAGTAAGTGTAGGAAAGAGATTAAAAAACATTATCAGACGTAATATCATTTACACAAAGTCGAAATTAATGAATGCAAAAAATTGTTGCTCGAATTTCAGTATATTTCCTAGAAATCAAGTAATTTTTATATACGACGCAGAATGTGTCAAATTAATACAGTATGAAATGTTCGATAAAAGATTTCGATATGTGTTAGGGGAAAAATAATTTTCCTTCCTGATAATTGTCGCGATTCTTTATCTGGATTCTCATTATTTTCACTATATATACATATGTATCGCAGACGCGAATGCGCGGACGTGGTTGATACGGCGAGAACTGATTTTGGCTCAAATCATGATTGTTTACGCAATTTATTTCGCAAAAAAACAGAAAACAGACTATTAAATGTTTTCGTTCAAGAACGCCTAGATTAGATTAGACCAGGGGTTTTGTTTACATGAGATTAAGTACACCGTCAATTACAATAAGCACGCATTTTAACTCTTGCAATTATATCAGTAATTATGTCAAATAATTATACGAAGAAAAATATTTAATAATTTGTATCGGATTTTATATGACGTAAAAAGCGTAGAAGATGCTATCAGAATGGAGTCGTTGATATTGTTCAATTAAGAATCCTCCCTCGTATGAACTTTCGTATCGACATATCGATATAATGTAATTCGTTGGGCAATAAAACCTGATTAACGTTCCGCGTATTTAGAACGCGTTGCGCAAAAGATATCGAATTATAAATTAGAAACATTTAAAAATTAAGAATTTATTTATTGTTAAAAACTGAAGCTAATCGATATGGGTAACATTGATTATTTTTTAAATTAAAAGAACTATTTTTAATGTAAAAATAATATTTGTAAAAATAATTTGCTGTTATTTGTTTCGAACAACAATAATTGTGACATGACAAAATGTCAATGCCGACGACGTGTGTGACGATTTAGTTCCTAACAAGAATGATGATAGATAACACTACGAAGTGAAGATAATACGATTTATGGCTGTTTAGTTTTTCTTTCTGTTTCCGTTAGAAATTTCTAACTTTTATTTTTTAGAGAGAGAGAGAGAGAGAGAGAGAGAGAGAGAGAGAGAGAGAGAATTATCTTTATGCTTTTATAATGCAAGAAATACAAGTTAACTCGTGCGATAAAAATCTGAGGTAGTGAAATTGCCTTGTCAAGTCATGTACACAGGATGTTGATGTGTGATGATACGATATATTTATTATAAAATGTACAATTTTTCTAACGTTTCGACCCTCGGTTTGGATCCTTATCAAAGAAATCTAATATAACATAGTTATTGTGCTACCTGGAACACTTTATAATCAAGTCATGATAATGAGAGATTGTATAAAATAAATTAACGTTGATAATAAAAAGTCAGATTACATTTATGTGTAAAAGAACAATTGTCATTAAATGTAATTTACACATAAATGTAATCTGACTTTTTATTATCAACGTTAATTTATTTTATACAATCTCTCATTATCATGACTTGATTATAAAGTGTTCCAGGTAGCACAATAACTATGTTATATTAGATTTCTTTGATAAGGATCCAAACCGAGGATCAAAACGTTAGAAAAATTGTACATTTTATAATAAATATATCGTATCATCACACATCAACATCCTGTGTACATGACTTGACAAGGCAATTTCACTACCTCAGATTTTTATGCTTTTATTTTTGAAATAAAAATACATTACAAAAAAGATATCGACAAAAAATTGTATATTCATAAATCGCATATCTTTTATGATAAGAAAAAATTAGAAAATAATATTTATTTGAGCAATTCCTTACTCGGTGCAATTTCGCAGTTTCGATATATCAACTGATTCTTGACACTTCTTTATCCTTGATGTTTTCTGTTAAACCGTAAACTGCAATTTATAATTTTTATTAATTATAATTTTGTAAACGAGCTCATGTAAAATTAATCGTCTCGGCAATGTCAGTCAGCTTCAACTAGAATTCGGTGCTGAAGAAAATCTGAGGCTCTGTTTTTAACGACGAAATCTCGTTGACTGTGCACCGTAGCTTCTTCGTGAAAATGTGAAAACTGCTGCCACGATTATTTTTCTCCTGCGCATAATCGTGGAATTTTCTAATCGTGCTATTTCACCCTCGTGCATGAACCTGTGGCAATCGCGAGCGCGTTTTCCACGTGCATGGTCTCAATCCGTTTCCTTGACTGAGATTATCGCATAAACGCTGACACACATCAATCCGATGAAACAATCGAAAAAAATTTCCGTATCGCGGCGAGACAGAAAAAAATAAAGAAAAATAAAGAAGAAAACTTAAAGAGAAAGAAAAGTAGAAGGACGTGTTGAATATCTCAAGTTTCACATAACGCGGGGGAATACGACCATACATGCGGATGCACGTGATCGACGACTGCAAAACAACGGAATTCAGCACCAAGTATAATTAAGCGCGCGATGATTGACGCGGGACTGCCAATCCCGCAGAATACTTGCGATTTACCCACCGACGCGGACACTTAGGCCAGCATCAAGGGTCAAGTGTCAAATCTCGACTGATAGAACTAATGTGTCGGAGATAGTGTTGTTGATCGGGCACACAAACGGAGAGTGACCGGAGTGACGGAAAATTCGTGAAAGAGGCAGAGATCAACGTGAATGAATTGTACATTTCAAAATTGTATTCACTTGGAGAAACGAATATATCTTTAGACGTTTCATCATATATTTCTATTGATTAGTCCTATCAATTAAAACTATTTCTACCATTTCTCTATCATTTTCTATATAATGATGCTGCGGAGAATGTACATATCTTCTAGATAGAACACAATCATAAGACGTTATTATGACTTGATCTAACAAATAAATTATAAGTGACAAATATTGTAATGAAGCTATAATAATGTAACAAAAAATGTATACTTCTGCAAAGTTTAAATTTTATAATTCAAATTCAAAAGTAGAACACAAAAGTTACAATAATATCATAAAAATGTTATCATAACTATTATTTGTTACTTTATAAGTGACAAATAAGTATGTAAGATTAGATATTAAAATATACTTTCGTAAAGTTTACATCTTACAACGTAAACCCAGGTAAACATAGAAGTTACAATAATATCATATAGAACGTTATCGTAACTTTATTTTTCATTTATAAATGACAAATAATAAGATAATAACGTTCTTTAATTATTGTGACTTCTATATTCTACCTGGGTTTGCATTGTAAGATTTAAACTTTACAGAAGTATATTTTAATATCTTTTGTTACATTTAAATATGTTATTTACTTTAAATACGTTATTTTTCATATCAAGATATTATTGAGAGGAAAAGCAAAAAACTAGGATTACGACTGTGATATTAGTAATATTAAAGAGCTGAAAAAGTAACATGAATAATCTGGTTCTAAATATTCTATTAGCTTTGGAATTTTTATCTTACTTTCTGTCAAAGTAGCTATTAGGTATAAACATCCACGAGGTGCTAACAATCGCAAAGATTAATAAAATGTCGCTGACCGCTTGCAGGAAAATTTTCTACGCTTAAGCACTTTAATTATCAGCACATGAAGTGTACGTGCACATGAATAATGATAAGATAAAAAAAAAATAAAAATAGTATGACGCAAATTGTAGTCTAAAGTTAGAGTTGAAATTCAGAGCATTCGCCATGTGATGTAATCCCTTACGAAAAAAACCCCCAAACTTTGATGGTTAACCCCTAAATTTGAGGGTTGACCACAAAATTTGAGTGTTGACTATAAAAATTAGGTGTTAACACTCAAATTTGGGGGTTGATCGTTAAATTTTTAGGGTAGACTTTAAATGATGATTCGGTGTCAAACCCCAAGTTTGTATATTAACTCTCAATTTTTGGTGTTGAGCATTAAATGATTCGGTATCAATCCCCAAGTTTGGGTGTTGACTCTCAATTTTTGGTGTTGAGCATGAAATGATTCGGTGTCAATCCCCAAGTTTGGGTGTTGACTCTCAATTTATGGTGTTGAATCCAAAAAATTTCGGTGACAACATCAAGTTCTGGTATTTTGCTCTCAATTTTTGGTGTTGAGCATTAAATGATTCGGTGTCAATTCCCTTACGGAAAAAAACTATTAAGAATCAATAGTTACTATTGGTGTTCCAGTAGTTACTACTGAGACTCCAGTATAGTTACTATTGAGACTCCAGTAGTTACTACTGAGACTCCAATAGTTACTACTGAGACTCCAGTAGTTACTATTGATGCTTCAATAGTTACTATTAGGACTCCAATAGTTTGAATAATATTGGATCCAATAGTAACTATTCGCCTAATACATTTCTGCACTTGCGGAAATAATTTTTATATTGTACAAATTTGAATAAAGAAATCGATTTTAATCAATTATTTGATATTATTTGTGCATTATTATTTGATGTATCATTATATCCTTTAATATTCGAAGAAAAACAAAGATAAAAAATGATACGTCATGCGCATTACACTTGCGGAATGATACATACACTAATACATACACTATCATATAAACACATAAACCATCTGTTTTTAATATTTCCATTGAACAGATATATCACAATTATACAGACGTTGACATATACAGATTCGTGGGTCATCGAAGTACAGCAGTTCCCGTACGATTGTCAAGGTCAAGCATGCGAGGTCGTGGTACAACTTCGGATGGGTAACCGGCCGTTTGGGAAGCATCATGAAAAAAAATTAATTCTCGAATTTAGAGGAAAATTTTTTTTTCACGATTTTATTCTAAAATTGATGCTAATTAGTAATACTTATTTTAACAATCTAACAGTAATTAGAGAAAATTGACCTTTTTTTACGAGGGACTATTGACCAATAGTAACTATTGGCCAACAGTAACTAATGATCAATAGTAACTATTCACCAACAGTACTAACTATATTGGCCAAATTACTATTGGCCATTTCACCATTTACTAATAGTTTTTTTCCGTAAGGGAATCCCCAAGTTTGGGTGTTGGCTCTCAATTTGTGATGTTGAATCCCAAAAATTTCGGTGTCGACATCAAGTTCGGGTATTTTTGCTCTCAATTTTTGATGTTGAGCCCCAAATAGTTCGATGTCATTGCAACTCATCTAGTTCGGGTGTTTTTGACTTTCAATTTTTGATATTATAGCCCAAAATGATATGGTAATATGTTTATAGGTTGATATATCGGAATCGTTAAAAAATAAAATAAATCAACTTATGTAAAAATCGTTTGTATTATATAAAAATATGTTTTTAAAATATAATAATAACTTACTTTTATTATCTTGTACAATTGATGAAATAATTAATATAATATGTACGTAAAATATATTTTATAAATATATTGAATTGATACAAATATTCCTTATATTGGATTTCAAAAAATGCATTCAAGAAATACATCATTTTGATCCCGCAAAATAATAACCGCTAATATATTATATACATATACATATAATATATATATTTATAATATAAATAAAAAGTAATGTATAAATAATATAATATAATAATAATAATAATTATATAATATA